CCTGATCCCTTCGACACCTTGTGATAGCCCAGGCTGGTATGCTTCTTCCATGTGAGCTTTGTTGCTTCTGAGCTAGATGGCTACTTGTTTACCTTCAAGCCTTTAAGACCCCAGACACTATATCTTTTTATAGCCGGGCACCATCAGCTTTCTTTGCCACATTTGCTTATGTACCTATTTGTCTTCAGGGATCATATCATGGAGGTGAGCACACAATGATATGATTTTTTGTCCTTTAATGACTGATAACTGATCCCTTCAGCATCTCATGATCACACAGGCTGGTGTGCTTCTTCCATGTGGGCTTTGTTCCTTCTGAGCTAGATGGTCGCTTGTTTACCTTCAAGCCTTTAAGACCCCAGATGTTATATCTTTTGATAGCTGGGCACCATCAGCTTTCTTCACCACATTTGCTTATTCACCACTTTGTCTTCAGCCATTGTGTCGTGAAGGTGAGCATCATAAAATGCCAATTTAATAGAAGAAGGTATTCTTGCATTGAGGGAGTACTTGAGTGAAGGCCCAATGTTATTCTGCTACCTTAATCCTAAACCTATAAATATATGCACACAGATCTATTTTCTCATTCTCATATATGAATATATTTGCATATGTACATGTCTTTATCTAGACCTCTATAAATGTCCTTTGCCTCCCAGCTCTTTCCTCTATTTCCTTTCAGTTCCCTCCTGTCCCACTATCATGCTCCGTCCCCACCAGGGTTTCAGCAATTCCTCTTTGTTACATTCCCCTTGATCATGCCCTACCAGGCCTCCCACACCCTCCTCACTACTGATTTGGATCACTTGTTGTTCCCTTGTCCCTGGGTTTGTTAACACCACTACCTTTCCCCCACCTACCCCTCTCCCATGTCCGCGCAGAACTGTGAGTCCTGTGGCTTTCTCCTCCAGATTGTTCATCCAGCCTATCTTATTTAGACAGACCTGCAGAGATAATAACATGCACAAAAATGAGACAGGGCAAAACCAAGCAAGAATATACAACAAAACAACAACAACAACAAACCAATGACAAAAACCAAAACAAAATGCAACAAGAAAGAAAACTTGTAGTTAGGTCACGGATTGTTTGTTGGCCTTTAGGAGTGTTTTCCAGTCCAGTCTGTTGGGGCACCACACCCTGGGCCCAAAGTCTGCCTTTAGCATTCCCTGGGCACCTCGCCACTCTGCTCCCTTGCTGTTCTGCTTCACCCCTTTAGTGTTTTGCCTCAGTGTGAAGGGATCAGATCGGGTGCAATTACCACACCGTGTCTCTGATGTTGTCCCCTGTAGGGCTATGGGTCAGTGTGGGGCATCATGTCTCATAGTGGGGCCGGCTATGTGATCCTCTCTGTGGACTGACTGTTCTAATTGGGAATATCGTCCTCAAGGCCTGGTGGGCCAGGATGTGCTCCACTCTCTCCTCCTCCCCCTTCATCTGCTTCCGTGTGCTCTGATCAGATATGGCCCTCTCCCAGAGCTCCAGATTCAATACCGTCCTTTGAGATTAATACTTCTCGGGGGAGGGGCAGGTGTCCACTTAGTAGTTGGGATTGGGGCCAGTCCCCCAGGCCTCTTCACTGATTCCCTACTCCACGCCGGCATGTTGCATTCACACCTTGGGACACTGGCTTGAAGTCTGGTCCCTCTTTCCCTGTGGAGATATAAACAATACCCTCCCCTTGGTAGACCCATTTTTTAAAACAAAACTGAATACTTAAGTAGGTCTTCAAAAGTTGGGAGAATATTCTATTGTGTTTTCCTTCATTTTTTACACATATTGTTTGAAGCCATTTCAGGGAATTATGGGTGTAAATTCTATTTATTTAATGATTGCCATATGTGTCATGGTTTTATAGTGATATTCTTCTACATTCTCTAAAACTTTATTTACTCCTAAAATGAGGATTTTTAAGGAAAAGAAAGAGTTAATAAACAGTTTATTGCTCAACTACAAGTCTAAAGTTTGGCAGTTTGAACTAGCACAGTTGTTATATAATGTGCATCAAACCCTGGAAGAGACAAAGTAAAGTTTTCATTTAGAGTTACAATGATTTAAAAATATATTTATTTGTGTTTTAAGTGAATATTTACAAAGCAAATTAGATTCCTTATTAATCATTCTTATAAAGCTTATTTCTTTGCATTTGCTACAATCTTAACAACGTGTTGGTGTTCTCATAATTCTCAGTAAGTCTGCTTTGTTTACATGGGTCTACCTATCCTTCTCCTTAAGTTTCACCTTTACCTTTAAGTAAAAATGTTGACTATTTGGTTGCATACAAATGATTGTTTAGGGGATCATATTTGTCATGTGTGATTTAAATATATATATATATA